CGTGGAATGAGGCTTTGCTAATGACACAGTTTAAACTGGATTAGGCCTGGGAGGTGTTTTGCACTTCTGAGGCAGAAGTCAGAACCTGAGGAAGGTGTTGAAAGAGCTGAGCTTTGGAGCTTTTCTCTTTTTCTGTCTTTTTCATATCCCATCCCGTGCTCCACCAAACCCCACCCCTGYAGAATAGGCTTGACTCGAATGCAGTGCTGCTGCTCAGGCCATCACGGCTGGGCTCCAGCCTGGTCTTCCTGGCACCAACCATCCTGGAGACCCTAATGCTCCACAGATAAAGTAATGCCGTGCCCGGATCAGTTTGTCATGATAATTGTGACTCTGCCTGGTGATTTCAGTGAAATTTTGGTGACATTTAGATATTCACGGGTTTAGCTGGGTTTATTCAATCATAAAGCTGCTATTCCCTCCAGTCACTTTGTTCACAGTGGATATAACAAATCTGTTTTGCCATTTCTATCTATTTTAGATCCCAATTCGGATCCTGAAGTGAATTTATCACAATACTCCCACAGCTCGTATTATCCTCATGTGAATGTTCTGGTGAGCAAGTTTAACTTGGAAGAGTATTTGTAGAACGAGAATTTTAGATGCGCATACACATATGTGTGGGGACCAAATGTTGTGTATATTTATGTGAATATTTGCACCAAAAGTGCTAACCACCTTCTGTGTTACGAAAGCAAAACCTATCATTTACCTAACAGATGGAAATGGAGATAAATGTATTGATCAGGGATTTTCTGTTATTAACACAGAATCATTCAGCTCCTAATTTCTACTCCCCTAAAAACAGCACTGATTTCATTTTAAGAATGGAATAACTGGTRGAGATAGCCAACAGCATGTGGTTATTTTGCCACAAGAAGCAAATTTTATCACATTATTTCCTCAGTTCCAACCCTTGTTTAGACAGCTATTTCATAACTTTGTAACTTGCAAAAAAAAAAATAAATAAATAAAGAGAGAGAGGGAGGGAGGGAGAATTATCAAGCAGAAATAGTAAAATATAACATTAAAYGTGCTGTGGCACAAGGTGCTCTGTTTCCAAAGAGGGAAAAATATTCCCACGTAAGTCTAATTTTCAGAATTGTGTTCAGGTTAGTAGTGTTTTTCCCCGTGGGCCTCGCTGTGTTTGATAAGCCCAGCATGTCTGTGTCAGCACCCRGACCTGGAGAGAATCCGTCCCCAGTATCCCTGGGGACAACGTGGGTCTCCCGTCTCTGCGCACACTACCTGTCTTTGCTCCCCTTGGAGACTACGTTCCAGTTGCCACTCGACTTGCTGCTGCTGCTGGTTGTAAATAGAAGCAGAAAGAGTTTTGCAGTTTCTTATTTTTATAATTTTGATAGCATCTTGGCAAAGACCAAGACTTTTTTTTTCACTTGCTCGTGCTTGTGTAACACATGGCCTGCGTCGTATTTCCTTGAGAGCTGCTTGCATAACTCTAGCCTTTAACACGGGCTGTGCAGTCTGCAACTTCTTTCGTGGAAATCAAGTGYCCTGCAAATAGTTTCCTCATCGTGTAAGTGAGACGTATATCACTCTAAAGCTGATATACCTTTTTTTTTCTTGACAAACTTCAGGTAGATGTTGGCTAAGAGAATGTTAGAAAAAGACTCCCTTTTTTGAACTCTGTGATCGGAAACTTKGTGAAGTGGCTAAGGCTGTTTCTGTGAAACCAACTGACAATAGTTTTAGATTACACTTTGTGATAGTTTAGTTACCTCTGTATTCTCAAGTGTTTTGATGAGTATTTTTGGAGCTTTTTGGAAGTTTGGGGCAAAAAGGATGGAAGCAAGGATTTTTAGAGCAAYTTTGGGAAATCTATGAGCTAAGAGAAAATAACACTGACCCACAGATGATGGTGGGTAAAAACAGATGTTGTTATGTGYGTTTGAAATTCTTTGGATTAATGAATAGTGCTTTTTGTAAAATAGATGAAGAGTTTTAAGACTTTAATGTCTCAAGTTGCAAGCTTTAATGGTCTATTTAAAAAAAGCCCTAAAACTTCTTAGTTTAGGCACAAACTAATTCTCTGTATGTACACTGAATCCTGAACGTTATGTTGCGTGATATTCAGTAAGTGATGGAGGGCAAAGGGAAGTTCCTAGGCAGGGTCTCCCAGCGTGACCCTCAGAGCATTAAAGGGCTCTCAGGCCTCTCGGATGTATCCACAGCAGGAACATGTGGGGAGCAGCCTTGTCCTGCAAGGGGCATCGAGGTGAAAAAGGTAGCTCTGTGTTGAGCAGATCAAAGAAGCTCTGACTTGCTATGAGAGTTATTTCCCATAATCTTCACAAGGGCATAGGAAAGAAATTCTCCAAATTAAGGTAAGAGGAAAAACTTAGATGCTGGTATTTTGTATCAGGAGGAAAACACTTTTTAAAGTAGTTTTCATGAGGAAAAACTGTCTAAGAAATAGATATTAAATGGCATGAAATGTCACTAGCTTTAGCTACATCAGTGGAAGGCACAAATATGCAAAAAAGTAGTTCTTGTTYAGCTCTTTTACCAGCAGATAAATCAGATTCATGTTGCCTTATTTAACAAAACGCTATTATATTATTTTCCTGACGGGGGGCTGAGGGTGCCATGGGGGTCTGCGTGCCCTGGGTGCCCCCGTGCCTCGCGCCTGCCCCACACCAGCCCCTGCTCTCAGTGCACAACCCACCTCCCATTGTATCCAGGCCCTTCCTGCCGCATGCAGGAAAGCTGCAACCATCCAGGGRGCTTCTGAAGGGGAATTACGAATTACTCAGCGTGGAGAATTTGCATCATTTGGAGTTTTTGCTCCTTTGGTTTGGTTTGGTTTGGTGCTTCACACAGGACTATGGGGAGAGGTTTGAGATAGGACTTGAGGTCGTGATTCCTCCCTGTGCAGYGCAGCGACAGGCCCAGGGAGCAGCTCTGTCTCTAGGCTGTAAATGAGATTTTTGCCCCTTATCTCTGCTCTCATGGGTCTCGCTGTGGCCCAGGCAAACAGTCCCCTGTATCGGAGAGAGGCAGAGCAAGCAAACAGTCTTGGAAGAAAAATAGATAAGAAGAAAACCGCTAGTTACATGTTTAAGTTCAATCTACAAAAGAGCTCTTATCTTACATCACACTGGCCAAATTAAATCCATGAATCCACTAAATGAAATTCATAGTTGCACCTCTGTGAGGTTACATCAAGCAGCATGTGCCTTCATGTGTCTGTGAATAGATAATACATTTGTGCAGAGCAGTGATCAGGRGCTAAAGCAGTTTCCATATTCCTGCCAGCAAAACAATTTTTTTCTCACTTGTGCTTTTTTTCCCTATGCCAATCCTTATTCCTCAGAAGAAACCTTYAAGAGCTGAGGCGAATGCGCCAGCAGCCCATAGCTAGGGAGATCCTAAGTGCTGCCTAGAACTGTCACTAAAGGGCCAAGAGCAATAGCTTAAAGTTTAAATGATCAAAATCTTGTTTGGAAGGGAGTTCCAAGATCAAYACAGCAAAGAGAAAACAGTATTAGAAGTGCCACTTCTGAGCTGATCCAGTCCACTGGTTTAAGTGGGAATGGAGATATTATCTGCTAGATACCAGTTACCTGCTGTGTTTTATACAGTAAAAAAAAATTGGAGAAAGTGGTACTTTGTATTTTTTTTCTATTAGGAAAAATGATCAAGATGAGGKTTTCCAGGTAGTAACTCTAGTAGTAGGGCATTATCTGCAATTGAAAGACAGCCCTTTTCCATTCTAGCAAAATATAATGAATCTCATTAAAAGCTCTTACAGATGTGTGGGAATCAAGAGGGGATTATCACGAAATTCTATGCAAACTTGAAAGAGAGGAAAACTGTTGTCATGTTACTGAATACACAATTCTGTATTGGGACAAAGTCTTACCTCAGTAAACACTAATTTCAATCTCCTGTGGTGGCATTTTCATGCTTTACATGTAGAGTTTTCTTAGCTTGTTATAATAACTTATCTAAAGTCAATAAAGAAAAAAAATGTTTAAATTAGCCTCTAAAAAGCTTGAAGAGTCACTCAGATAAAGGGTGCCAGATACACAGCTCCATAGCCAGTACAGGACGGTTTGGTAGTAAGGTGCAGGCTCCATTCTCATCGTTTTGATGTCGTTTTTGGGCTCCACTCGGCTCGGTGGCTGCCAGATGGCTGCGGCGCCGAGGAGGCTGCCGCCAGATGGTGGTGACAGTGCGGACAAGACAAAGATTTTGGCTACGGAAAGGGGCCTTTGGAAAGACACCACAAGTCTATCTTTCCTGATAATATCACTGCCCAATTTGGATGCACATCACATCGAGTTTTTTTTTTTTCTTTCTTTCTTTTTAAACCAGAGAAAAGGTATTAAAGCCTTGATCGTGTAGAAAGGCGAAAGGGACTGAAAGGGGAAGCGAGGTCTGCCCTTTGGTCCGGTTCCCAAATCCTGACCGTTCAGTAACAACAAAAAAAACTCCCTATGTATAATTGGCACGTAATTATTTGTGATTACTAGTGTGATTCCTCTGCTTCTCTCACTGTTACTGAACTAATTACTCTTTTTATGCAACATTAGCAAATTAAATCATTCCAATTACCCACATTTATTTGCTTTCATCTCCTTGTGTTTTCTCTGCTGCCATAAGCCTTTCCCATCACCCCATGTGATGGCACCAATCACACTTTCAGTCACAGCTCCTTGTTTTGGGGGGCAGTCAGTGGCTCTTGTGCTCGTCCCACTGTGAAGCAGCTCTGCTCTAGRCAGGGCCACTGTGGAGGTATCTGTGGTACCACCACAAGATCCTTCAGCTGCCCTGGGAGGTGGAGAGGCCTGTGTGGGGCCTGCCCCTCCAGCAGGCTGTAATGGCCCCCTCAACAAGCCTCAGCTGGGCCTTGTTATGGTCCTCACCTGCACACGGCTTCCTCCTCCCCACGTGCCTCTGCAGTGGCTGGGGCCACCTTGAGAAGGAGATTAAAAATGAGGATGGGAGGCGTGTTTCAGGGTTCATGCAGCTTTGTTGGATTAATGTGAGTGATGCTACAAAGTGGCTCTGGTTGCCGGTACCTGGCTCCAACCCTCATTTCCACCTCACCATGACCTGCTCCTGAGATTTGCCCATATGCCTGTGAGCTTGTTTTTCCTGGCTACTGAGCACYGGATGAGGAAACTATCCTACAGAGCACCAGGTAAGGGTGAGGAAGCATCAGTGAGGTCCACGTGCCAGGCAGGAGAGGTGCCAGCCTTGCCCCCAATTCCTCTTGCACTGCTGTAGTGGCTGCCTGCTGCACTGCAGGCTGTGAAATGTGAGCATCRCTGTCTGCCTGCGCCTGGGCACCTCTGGGCATTTGCAACAGCCTGAAACGCTTGTCTGTGAAACAGTTTTYCTCTGTGTGGCAGCAGAGGAAGTGGGGCTGTTGTCTGGTTAGGCCTCTTTGATGTGAGATGAACTGAGTTGTTGCCTGTTGTTATTGTCACATTGAGTTTTCCTTTCTTATAATATATCTATTTCTCCTGGATCTCTTTTTTTTTTTTTTTCTGTTTTTCTCCTTACAAAGGAGTTCAAATGAGCAATCCAACACAGGGTACATTTTAACACCTAACCCAAGAGCTTAATGCATTCCTGTTACTGGAGGACTTSAGTGGGGAGGACAAATAAGGACACTAGACAGAATGCAAAGAAGTTTTTCAGCAAAAAGTCCTTAARTCCTGAAAGAGAAATTGGCATTCTTAGCTTAAAATTATATTCAGTGTTTATATTCTGGCAAGTCTATGTCCAGAAAAACCTCGATGGGATGGCAGCTGTCTGGGAAACCTGAGCGTTAGCATGATGCAGGGAGATGACAATGTGGAGAGTATTTGCATGTCTCAGCCTTTCYTGAATGGTTTCCTCACTTTGGGAAGTGAGAACTGTTTTAAAGGGTTAGTGATGAGTCAGGAAGTTCTTTGTTTTCTTTCTGCTTTTAGTAGAGGGGACCTTGCTCCATAGGGAGGCTGTCTTTGGCTACCTGTCTTCCTGGGAGAGCAGTCTTCATGTGAGTGAATTGAACATCAAGATAATGATGTTCAATTTGGATTGACTAGGGCAAGAGCATGTTTTGAGTCAGAATTCAAGATATTTCCAGGACTCCCAAATTGCCTATAATAATACCCGCTGCAGCTCCCTCTAATTCYAGTCCCTTTCCCTATGACTTTGAGGAAGCCACTGACTTAGATACTTAGCTCTACCACATCCCCTTGTTTTAGCAGTGTGGTCTGTGGCAAGTCAGTATCACAGACCCGAAATCCTGAAAATCAGTCTTGAAACCTACCATTCTGTTGTATTAGCACTTGGTGTAAGTATGTATTGTTTGGCCTTATTTCTGGTCCACTGCTATAAGGCCGCAGTGTTTGAGCCTAAATTTCAAGGAAACTTGATGAAATTTCAAGTGAATGGAAGAAGCCTGGTGTATGATAACAGTAGCAAAGCGTAACAGCATAATGTATTATTTGTGGTGAGAAGCAATATTTAGGCTGAAGGTGTGGTCCTGAATTATCCCTTCTGGAGTTCTAAAGAACATTTGTCTTCTAGAATTGGACTTGGGCAGATACATGCATCTACAGATCTGTTAATAAATAAGAAGCTTTCATCAGATAACAYTTATCTGATGAAAGGTTATCTCTGCAGTAGGTTGAGCAACTTGTAAATTCTGGGGCCTTCTTCCTAGGAGACTGTAAATGATACAGAAKGTATAACTTCTGTCTTTATTTCTGAATTTGTAGCCTTATATACTTTAGGACATGAGTAGCAGCAATGTGACAAAAACCTTTCTGTCTTGAGAAACACTTGGACTTTTCTGAGGTGTTGTAAACTGTTTTGGTTTGATGTTAATGGGGACTGCTCGAGACTCTTGTCTGCTTGAGAGTTTAAACAAAAGCTTAAGATAATGAGTGGTTGAGTGCACGTGGTCATCACATCCATAAAGGGGTGAATTTCCCTCAGTGCTTGCCAGTTTCCCAGCAGGAGATGGGTGATCTATTCTCACCAGCCTCACCTCATACAGTCATGTCATAGCAGCTCTCAAGTTTATATTTTAATATTTACTGGCTTTGCGAATGACCCTGGCAGTTACAAAACATGCTTCCAGTGGTTCTACAGTGATTGGTACTTTGCTTTTGAAAAAGTAAAGTTTTGAATTTCCATACTTGTCAAGAAGATGCCAGCAAATTTAACAAGATATTCTTGGTGTTAACTGCACTTCTCAGGTACTGCAATTCTGGGAGCACGATTACAATATTTAGCGTGATCCTGCCATCCATTATCACCAACACCACCTACTTGTGCAGAGCTGTAGCAGTGGGCGTGATGCTATCTGCTTCACACTATTGGCCTACAATGCTCTAACACAGGAAGAAAATAAACTTCAGAATGTTAAAATGCGTGCCTACATTTTCATATTTTGTTTTAGAATTATTGTTATATCTCTAACTCAAATGTCTTTATTAATTTTAGACTGTTTTTCCTGTTTATTGAAATGGGACGTTGCCTTGATCGCTTTGTAGACCTGAGTGACTGATATTGAGCCTTAGATCATGTTTGATCTCCTGTTCAGTGGCTGATATTCATTATTTCCTATCAAACTGTTACTATCAGCCTCTGTCAAGGTCTGCAGGACATGAATMCCTTTAAAACCAGGACTCAGTTTCCCTTTCTGAGGCTGGTTTTCCTCTAGCTGGTGCCTACATAATAGCTTTTATGCAGGAGGATCTAATTTACCAAACAACTTTAATCCCTGTACAGCTAATCTCAGAGGGACACCAGCTTCAATAACCTTGGCTGGATTTTGAGCAGGATGGTGTGTAAATAACCTGCATAGCAGTACATAAACATCAACACGGCTGAGTGGAGCTTACTTGGGTTAGAATGGCCTTTTTTTCCTTGCTCTGTGATTGAGAAGCAGTAAAAGCAGGAGAATCTCTTAATTAGGCAATTAGTTCTCTGGGGGAGGGAGTGTTTCTCCATGCAGGGAGCATCATGTTTACTAACTTAATATATTATGTCCTCTCCATGCTACCATAATACAAAGTAAGAGGTAACTTCATTTGATGGTCTGCTAACAGACAAGGCTAACATGCTCATGATGAGTTTATTAGATCTGTCAGGTGTCCTTAATTCTGTTAAGCATGGAACTCTGGCTGGATAGCTGGGTAAAAATAGCAGCATGAGGTGTGGGCCTTTTTGTTTCATTGCTTTGTTTTAATGCTATCAAGCTGGGTATGGCCATACCTATTTTGCCATTATTCTGACGGAGTAAATTTGTGGAATTGTTTGAATTTGCTTTGAGGATCTGTTACTTACATAGCCCCGATGGCTGTAATTGCTATTCAGCTGTATAGAAGGAAGATACCACCATCTTTTCAAAATCAAATTGGGTGAGACAGGACATGCTTAGCTCTCACCTGGAGTAGATAGTGCAGTAAAAATGAGGGGAAGGAGACAGGGAGACAATATCCACATTAGTAGTTGTGTATTGAAAATATTTAACAGTTTCCTTAGTTTTTGCCCTGTAATTATGTGTAAGCCAAGATGGGTTTGCCATGGGCTTGCAGACTGGTGCTTTCCTGGGCTCGGTCTCGGGAGCTCAGGGGATGAGAACCCTGTAAGAGTGGGCTCATGCACAGCATTCCTAGCACCAGGATGACTAAGCTCAGCACAAGTGTCCAGATGGGCTCAGGCTGGCAAGACTGGAATAGCCCAAAGTGTCACAGCTCCAGGGAAGTGTTTGTCCAGGAACTCCCACCGCTGTGATGGGAGTGGGAAGAGATGGCACTTTCCTGACCTCTGCACTGGCCGGCCTCAGGAGCTCTCGCGTTGGGTTCCTGCCTGACAAGGATCGAGTTATCCTATGGTTCGGTAATATATAAAAAGCTAGGGCACATGGCAAATAAGCTGAGAAGGTTGGAATGGGAGCGCGGAGCAGCTGAGATGAGCCCAAGGGTGAGTTTATCAGTTAGACAAGGTGCTGCCTGGAAATTAATAGGGTGCGTCGAATGGATTTATTCTGCATAGCTGTAAACAGTCTTTAAGCAGATCACTTCTGGTGATTATTTGATGTTTTATTGGTGTGTGTGTGTGTGTGTGTATATATATGTAGTGGGAAGATGTTTTTCCTATGTCCTCCTTCTAGTCAGACTAGAAAATGTGATCTTCTGATACGTGAGCGTAAAAGCTCTGATCCCGGGCAAAGTGAAGGATTCTTCTGATTGCTTTGTGTAGTTGACCTCTAAATTAAACAGCAAGAAAGTTGCTTTCCAGAACTTCTTATTTTCACCCTGTTTTGCCACTTTAAAGGCAAACAGCAAATACTATTTTGTAATCACTTYAATTCCTTCAGCCCTTATGAGATAATAGCATCAATCTGAATTTGTGGCTCTTGGGCTATTTGGATCAAGAATATTTATTTTACACTTAAAATTGTTTCAATAGGTTTTATTTCAGATAAGACATGGCTTACCATCAAAATGTGATTCAAATATGCATTTGGAATTGCAAAAATAAAATCAATGGAATGTCATTTACGAGCTAACCCTTAAGAAAAACAAGTACATATCCACTGTACTTGAAGGTTGTTAAAAGAAATCTTGAGAAATACCATTTTGGTCCTAATTGCAGATTTAGCAGATCTGTGTGAACTATTCAGACTAACTTAACACACATTCCCAGGTAAAATCTCAATTCAAAAAGGGTTTCCCATTATGTCGCAAATGGAACAATGTTAACACTTTAGCAGTGGGGCTGGTACAGGAATTCTCTGGAAGAAACATGAATATCTCATGGAAATGGCCAATTCTAGATATCAAAATGGATGTTTTTCTGGTATGAGTCTCTTGCACTAACCACAAAAAAAAWGAAGCTGCTGTATTTTTGTTAATTCAAAATACAGTGTAACTATTTTAAAGGAATGGCAAATAAGCAAAATGGGGCTATTGCGAGAGCATATGAAATGAATTGGTGTGTATTGCAGCAGTGTCTCCAACCAAATTGTGTATTTTGCAGAGCTTTAATTACTAGTTAACTAGATTCAAGATGGATCTGTGTATAAGCTGAACAATGGGTACAAAAGAGCATTATGCAGAGCATAACATGCCTCTAACCATTGTTTGTTCCACTTGATTTGCAGTTCCACATAACARGATGCCATTTGGCTTG